TTTTTATGTCAAAAATCTGTCCCAATATGAGATTGAAGTCAACCGACAGGCCGCACAGCTTTAAGTATTTTGATCATATCTTTTTCTCTCGATATCCAATTAAGGTGATTCAAACTGGGTTAGAAAGCTGACTCACTTTGATTCAGAAATCATCTTCAAGTTAGATCATTGTCTATGTCAAAAATCTATCCCAATTATGAGATTGAAAATCGGAGTATAACGTTTTGATTGAAAGTTGAAGTGTGTTCGTTTGAGGGACGTTTGAAAATGATTTTTCAAGATTTTTGATATATTACAAATGTTCAAAATCATTTTCATGTCAAATCAATTTATGTAAGTGATAAATTTATGAGAAATACTTGAGCTTTATGCACTTACTAAACATTGATGAGTTATACCTTTACATATAAAAATAAGGTTCGATAAATAACTGCATCTTCAAAGTTCTTGATCTCTTTGAGCATCTCTTTGATTTGTATCTTGATTTGCAATTTTGTTAAGTTCCAATTTGATTATCGCATGCAAATCACTATTGTCTCGAGTGATTTGTCTTGAATGATCGTTTAAACTTCACTTGTACTTCATTTGAGTGTGAATAATTATCTTTATAACTTTGAAGAGTTAAACACTCAATTCAATTTGTTAGTAAACAAGATGGACTTGTTTGTTATAATCAAAACATTAAGTTCATGATCAACCATAGGTCAAAAAAATAGCCCCTGACCAGGGCTGTTCTTCAAGTAACGCAAAAGATGATGCACTGCCTTCATATGTGGGAGACGAGGCTGAGATAGAAACTGACTCAATTTATGGACAGCATATGTGATGTCTGGTCTAGATATGGTCAGATAAATCAATTTTCCCACCAACCATCTGTAAGAAGTAGCATCAGATAATAAGTCACCTTCATGTAAACTGAGAGATGATTTAGGATCCATAGGAGTGCTAACTGGTTTGCAATCCAGGTAGCCCGCATCTTCAAGCAATTGCAGTGCATAGTGCCTTTGAGAAATCACTATACCTGACTTAGATCGAGCAATTTCAATCCCCAGAAAATACTTCAAGCAGCCAAGATCTTTCAACTTGAAATGTGAATGTAGAAAAAACTTTAGAGAATCAATCACCTGAGAATTTGAGCCTGTGATGACAATGTCATCAACATACACCAATAGGGCCACAAAATTATCACCTAAACCCTTTGTGAATAAAGAATAGTCAGCCTTCGACTGGATGAAACCATATTGCATAAGGGCCTGTGAGAATTTAAAGTTCCATTGTCGGCTAGCTTGTTTCAACCCATATATGGACTTATGCAACTTACATACTAGTTTCCTGACCTATTTGCATTCTTCTGAACAATGTAGCCAGGGGGACGATCCATGTACACCTCCTCAAACAAATCACCATTTAAAAAAGCATTGTTTACATCAAGATGGACTAGATTCCAGTGATGAGAAGCTGCAAGTGCCAGAAGTATCTTGACAATAACAATCTTTGCCACTGGAGAGAAAGTATCAAAGTAGTCGAGACCCTCTTGTTGAGTGTATCCCTTTGCTACTAGGTGAGCTTTATGCCTTTCAACTGTGCTATCTGATCTGTACTTAACTTTGTATAACCATGTACACCCCACAGACTACTTACCAGGTGGTAGAGAGATCACAGACCAAGTGTGATTTTGTTCCATTACATCAAGTTCTAGCTTCATGGCATCACGCCATTCTGGATATTTTTCAGCCTGAAGAAAGGTGTTCGGTTCAGTGGTAGAAGATATGTTTAACACGAGATGTCTATGGTGAGTTGAAAGTTTTTGGTATGATATAAACTTGGCAAAATTATGAGGTGACTGAGAATGTGTTTGTGGATTCTGGGAGATCATATTGCAATGATAATCTTGGAGATATTTAGGAGGTTGTATGACTCTATGTGATTTCCTAATGTTGTTGGAAGAGATGATACCAATAGTTGGCTCATCAATTGGCTAGGAATCATGAGGTGTTGTTTGAGGTGGGATGCAATCCTCAGCAGATTGCAAAGAGTTCTGTAGGTTTGAATGGGGTGAGGAATGATCATAAGGATCATGAATATCTGAATTAAGGTCAAGAAAATGATCAGTAGATTCTGAAATATCATGAGCATCAGGAATCTGTGAATTGAATAAGGAAGGATTTGGTAAGACAATGTCCAGAAAGGGATCAGTGAGATGGTCTGAGCTATGGATTGAATGAAAAGGGAATATATGCTCATGGAATATAACATCTCGACACAAGAAAAATTGGTTGGAGGCTACATCATATAATTTGTAACATTTAACTCCAGGGGGATATCCCAAAAGCACACAAGTTCGAGCTCTTGGTTGGAACTTGGTTTGATGAGCAGATAAGGTGGAAAGAGAAAGCCAAGCATCCAAAGACTCTAAGTGAGGAATAATCTGCAGGTTTATTATAGAGTAAATCATGAGGTGTCTTATGTTTTAGAAGAGGAGAAGGCGTTCGATTTATAAGGAAAGTGGCTGTCAACACACACTCAGACCAGAACTTGATTGGAACTCTAGATTGAAAATATAACACCCTAGCAACATTTAAAAGGTGCTGATGTTTGCGTTCCACCACAGAATTCTGCTGTGGCCTCTCAACACAGCTAAACTGATGTAAGGTACCTTTCTCTGCCAAAAATTCTGTGAGTGCCAATTCAGGAGCATTGTCTGATCTTAAGACTTTAATTTTGGCCTTAAATTGCGTTTCCACCATATTAAAGAATCTTGGAATGACTGTGCTAGCATCTGATTTGTATTTTAACAGATATATCCAAGTGAATCTAGATAATCATCCACCACAGTTAAAAAGAATCTGAAACCCGTGTGTGAAGGAACATGGTATGGCCCCCAAATGTCAACATGAACAAGATCAAAAGGATGAGCAGAAATGTTGTTATGTGAAACAAAAGATAACTTCCTCTGTTTAGCAAGTGGACATATATAACAATGCACATTTTTATTGAAGCTTGTAACATCACAAGGTAAATGACCTTTTAACCAATCCAGTCGTTTAAAAGAAAGGTGACCCAACCTATTATGCCAAACATGCACAGACACATGATTTACATACGCACTAGAAACAAAATTTAGAGTTTTAATGTCAAGAACATATAGATCTTGCACCCGTTCACCCCTACCAATCATCTTCCTGGTTCTGAATTCCTGAATGAGGAAATGATCAGCAAAGAAACTAACGGTGAGTTGTGAATCAAGTGTCAAAGCACTAACAGAGATCAGATTGAATTTGAACCGAGGCACAAATAAAACATCACGCAGCATACTGTTTGAATTCAGTTTAATATCACCACACATCTGGACTGAAATCTGTGTGTGATTTGGTAAGGTAACAATCGAATTTTCAATGACTCTCATTGATGTGAAAACTGCTGCAGTAGAGCATATGTGCTTAGTGGCTCCTGAGTCAATTATCCAAATATCATTGAATGATTTATTAGGTTCTACTGATATGGAGTAACATTTACCTGCAACACATGAGTTAATGTTGCTATCATGTCCATCGTTTGAGCTGATGTTGGTACCTTCAGCAAGAGGCTAGATAACATCACTATTAATTGTTGGTATTGAGTGGTATGAGCCTTTATTGCAAAGGCAACATCATTACTCGAACCATCACCAGCATCATTATGCGTTATCTTCATCTGATTTTCCTCCTGAGTGATCAAGGTAAAAATCTTATTGATAGGAGGCAAAGGATCAGAAAGTAAGATCTGTCCCTGACTTGAGAGAATGAATCATTAAGCCCCATAAGAAAGGACATTATATATTCCATCTGATAATGCTCATTCAATTGTTTCACGCTATCACAAGTATATCTTCCACAACTGCAATTGGGATGATAATTAGTGAGTTCTTCCCAAATTGTCTTGAGTTTAGTGAAGTACACGCTCACAGTGTCATTACTCTGAGATAAATTCATCAACTCCTTTCTCAATTGAAAGATGCGAGGTCCGTTTTTCTGCTGGAATCTCTCCTTCAAATCATTCCAAATTTCGCAAGCGGAAGTAGCATAGATCATACTAGCTGATATGTCTTTCGAAATAGAGTTCAAAATCCAAGAAATAACTATATTGTTATTTCTAATCCATGAGTTCATCAGATATGATTCATTGCCTTCAGGTCTGGAAATGGAATCATCGACAAAACCCAATTTATTCTTCACTGATAGTGCGATAATCATCGCACGACCCAGGAGGCGCAGTTATCTCCAGTGAGTTGCTGCGAAACTAAAATCAGTCCTGGGCTATCGGAATGATGGAGAAAAAAAGGATTAGCAGGATCATCAAAATTAGATTTCACAACCTGCCTTGCTTCTGATTGAATCTCAGGCTCCATGTTATGATTGAATGAAGCAACGAATTCAATTGAAAATCAAATAAGGAATGAGATGGTTTTGCTTTGATACCATATCAGAATTGTGAGAGAGAATAAGAAGAGAATCAGAATTCTATTCAACTAAGAAATGAGGCGTACAGCAAATCATATAAATAGCCAAATGAAAAAGGCACCAAAAGACTAACTAACTTTCTAACTATCTAACTAATTGAAATGAATTACAATTATAATGAAATATAGAAAATGTAAGAATAGTCTCGAAGCATCTAGAAGCAGAACTGGAACTGAATTGAAGCTTAATTCTGATATCGTCCACCATCTTCTCCCAATGGCACCGTATGAGCCCATCTAAGGCTTGACCACTTGAAAAAACCTTAAAACAAAGGCTGCATTTGTGGCCTCCTCATCCTATATCCATCACCGTTATTTTATCATCCCTACCACTATGCTCCTTCACCTCCCATTCACTACCAATATCTACTAATTCATTGATGCAGTTTTCTTCTACTTCCCCTTTATTCTTCGTAATGGCATAACAACCCTTGATATTTATGTAACTTGCTCTGTGACCCCCTAAAGCCTGCCGAGAACCAAACACTTTCTTGCAACTCAAGCACTTGAATCGGCAATTCACATTCACACTTTCACTCAAATCAACAACAGCAGTATCAGAGTATTCCACCTGTAGTCCATGGCTAACAATGCAAGCAGTAGTAACGGATGGCGAGTCAGAGGCTGCAGTAGGCCAACAACAACAAGAACTTCGCCACCTCGTAATCTTCCTTCGTCATTACGGAAGCTTCCTCTGCTTCACTCTCAGTGACTATGGTATCCCTTTCAGGCTTCCTAAGTTCGGGCGGAAGGTTAATGCAGCGCCATTGGCCCTTGGGGTGGCAGCGCATGTGACCAAAAAGTGCCTTCCATGACCAAAACCTCTTGCCACACTCTGTACAGGGCCTGGTGATCTTGGGTGCAATAGGATCTGGCTTCACATATTTGAGCTTAGAAATTATGGCACTAGTACTGGAAGTGGGAGAATTGTCAATTTTGATTAATTTGGTGCGTTTCTTTCGGCGGCACTTGAGAGTGGTGGGAGATGTCTCAGAGTTAAATGCTCCATCTTGAGCAGTCGACAACATTAATGGCAGGATATTCATCTCCATATGTGGATTAATAAGAGATAAGTTTGGGGAAGAAAAAAAAAAAAAGAAGAAGATATGAACTTGGAATACGAGTCTCTTATGTAGCATGGACTGGGCGGTTACCAGTATGGACGACAATTATTTTCAGTTATAAAGTCCTACCCTCCTATCTCCTTTTGCTGTAACAAATCCAGTAAACTGCAAGAATAATTTCTGGCATACATGAATTATTTTCACAGGGGCCTATAGCGCGGGCCCCATCCAAATGTATTTGAAAAAAAAAAGTGTGTATATATATATATATATATTGTGAAGGCTGTTGAATGGCTGTTGTGAAAGCTGTTGAAAATGGCTGTTGTGAAAGCTGTTGAAAAATATCCTACTCAGTACTCTTCTTAATCATGATATCTCATTCTTTTGATAAAATAATATCCCTTTTTACTTTTTTTTTTTTTAAAAAAAAACACATTAAAATAAAAAATGTCATCTGAGATATATGAATTTTGGCCTAACTCCACTCTTGTAAGGACACCACAACACTCCCTTAACAAGAATTCTTAAAAAAGAGATCACTTTCCCTCTTCTATGCGTCTCCTAGCCTCTTCACTGGGCTTTTACGCTTTGAGAGGTCACTCAGGACTTATTTTAAAAACAGTTTAAACTTTAACTTGGAGTTAAGACATGCTCTTATCATATACTCAGCATGAAGCATAAAACTTTTTACAAAATCATAAAAATTTATAAACAAAAATTGTTCTTAAAAGA